GCGACGGCAGCTGGGGCGCCGGAGGCGGCTTCGGCGGCGGCCGCCCTGGCTTTCGCGCCTCCGTTCGCGGGTCAGGGTGATGACATCCTGTCTTCGGGCTCTCCCACAGAGACGCCCGCTTCGCCTCGTCCCCGCCTTTCCCGAGGAGAGACGGCGCTGGCGATCGCCGAAGCCGCTGCGCGTCAGGCTGCCCATGCGCTGGCAGTGCGGTCGGCGGTAGTTGATGCGGATGGCCTCCGATGCTCGTTCGGTCTTGCCATCGTCGTCGTCGTCGTCGTCGACGTTCTTCTCATTTCTCTTCTTCCCCCTCCTCCTCCTCCTCCTCCTCCTCCTCCTCCTCCTCCTCCTCCTCCTCTCCTCGGCCCTCCCCCTGGATCGAGTTGTTTGGTTAGTTCTTGGCTTTGCGGGTCCAGGGGGCCTGGCAGTCAGGCCAGCGGCGTGGCGCCGAAGTTGTGCCGTGCCCCTCCACACGGACGGGCCTTTGGATTATGTAGGGGGCCACATGCGAACCCTACCCCTACCCCCCACGATTTCTGAGGGGGAGGGTGGGGTTCACTTCGCTCGGGAGCTCCCGAACGAAGTGACCCCCCCCCCCTCAGAATTCGTGGGGGGTAGGGGTAGGGTTCACATGTGGCCCACTATTATGATGAGTCTTTGAGAGTCATCATGGTCCGGGCGCAGCTGGGCCTGCTACAGGAGATGTTGCTGCTGCAGATAGTGCGCCCGACGATCTGGTTCTCTGTGCGGCCGGGCCAAAGCGGATGCATCTGTGATGCAGGAGATGCCCACCTGTTGCTGCACGAATTGGCAGCGGAAGCAGCTGCCCAAAGGCGGCCCCTCTGGCCGGCCTTTGGGGACCTTCAGAAGGCCTTTCCCCGCACTTGGCGTGAATCGCTGCTGGTGAGCCTCGAAAAGCAGGCAGTGCTCCGGGGAGGGGCTTTCGCCCTCCTCGCGAGCATCCTTGAGGAGGGCAGGATCCGCGTGAACTTCAATGGAGTCTCGGTCGTGCAGGTTCTTGAAGGCATCCTGGAGGGAGGAGCGGTCGGCCCACTGACTTTTCCTGCTTGCATGGGTACACTTATGCATTCCCTCCTGGAAGCGGGGTGCGGAGTAGGGATCGGCGTGGTCATGTCCAGCGCCTGGGCGCAGTACTCGTGGCGAGGGACTGGCATGCCGGATGAATCCCGCTCTGGCTCCCTGCTTCCTCACCCCTTTGCCCTCGGGGCTGGCGAAAACCTCGAAGCCTCGGCGCTTTCTGCCTTGGATCTCATGGCGCCCAGCCGCCTCGCCGCGGCTCCACACGCGGACGACCCCGTGCTTTTAGCACCTTCCCGGGGCGCCGCCCAGCGTGCTCAGCAGGTGCTTGCGGGTTGGGCTTTTTCGTGAGAAAGCGTCGCCGCACACGAAGGCTGCCAGGCACGCCGTGGTCGTCCACGGCGCGGAGCACGCGAGAGCTGCCGCGGCCGAGGCCGCTCCTCTGGGCCTGCCGCTGCGGGGGCAAGCGCCAGAGCCGATACAGCTCTCCTCCTCACACCGCTGGTTGGGGCTTGGGCCTGTTTTCCACCACCACCTCCATAAGTTGGGGGGGGAGGAGGTGGCGGATGAGGAGGAGGAGGAGGAGGAGGAGGAGGAGGAGGAGGAGGAGGAGGAGGACCCCCTCCCCCTCCAACTTCTGGTGGTGGTGGTGGAAAACCGGCCCATCACCAGTGGCAAGGATGCCCTGCTCCAGAGCGCGTGCTGTCGGCGCGCCTGGGGGCAGCGGCAGCGCAGGTCGCAGAGCTCGCCGGGCTTATCAGTGGCGGGTCCATCCCCTTGGCAGCAGCTGCCGGAGTGTTCGAGGGAAATGTGGATTCCTGCCTTCGTTTCGAGCGTTGGCTCTACGTGGTGGCAGCCAGTGTCTGCCAGACGCTCGAATACATATATATATATATATGTACATGTATACATATATATATATATATATATTATATATATAGTGTATATATATATATATATCGATACACACATATATACATTTTTATATTTGTATATAGAAGAGTCATGGGCGAGGGCGCTGCTCGGCAGCCCGTCCTGGCGTCCTGCCGCTCCTGCCTGCGCGGAGCTGGGTTGGGTGCTCTCCGGCTCGGGTAGGGCAGTCCTTGACGTAGCATCCCGACGTTCAGTGCTATGGCTCGTACCCGACGAAGATCTGTACAACGTAGTCTTTGTCAGAGGACATGTTGCCGCAGGCGTTACGTGGGCAAGGTCCTGCTTGGCTCTTCTCGATTCCTGGGGTCTTCCAGACTGGCCAGTGTGGTGCGCGTCCGCAGGAGCGGGCGCCCGGGTGCAGTACACGGAGTGCGTCCAGTCGTTGGTGGAGGCTCACTGTCGCAGGAGGCTTCAACAGAGCCTACAAGAACACGCGCGGCCTTTCCCTCTGTTCTTGCTGGGCTCCGTCCCGCGGGGGGACCTCAGCAGAGCCAGGGAGTTGTCGTTGCCATCGGACTTACGGGGTCAACGTCCTCTGTCACTTTCGGTGCCGCCTCATCCTGCTCACTCACACGCAGGGGTGCCAGTCGTGGGCTAAGTAACAATGTTGCATTCTCTGCCAGCGTGCCGTCCACAGCCCGACCTTCCACGTCTTAGGCGCCTGCGGGGTCACTCAACAGTTGCGCGCTGCCTTCTGGCAGGCCCGAGGGAGACCACAACCCGAATCTAGGGAGGAATGCGCCCGCGTCCTGCTGAGTACGTCGCCAGGGAATGCAGGCTTCTCCGACGCAGCGTCGCTAGGAGATTTCCTGGAGCAAGAGGCGACCCTCTTCGGGAAAAACGCTTTACCTCCGGGTCTGATCCTCTCTCCGCGGCTAGCGTCGTACCTACGTCGTACGCTGGCGTGGGCTGGAGTCGAGACGGGGCGAGGATCCCTGCCGGAGGGTCGCTGATGCCCCCTCCCCAGGAAGACCCAAACCTAGCGTTTGCCTTCCGGCTTTGGGCGTGGCACCTCCCCGGAGGGAGCCTGTGAGCTGAGGGAGGTTCGGGCACGGTGGCGCGCAAGTCCTCGTACCCTCCCCTTCTCTCCCAGGGCTGCTTCCCGAGAGTGGTCTCATCCATCCCTGGGCTGACCTTGCGGGGTTGCTGTCGGTCGCCAGTTCGGGCCCCGCAATTCTCCACTAGAGGCTGAGCCCGCAGTCCGAATATGCCGCCTCGCTGGGAGGTCACCAACCAACCAACCAACCCCTCTTGCCCCTCCTCGTCCTCCTCCTGGGGCTCCTCCTCCTCCTCCGCCTCCTCCTCCGTAGCCATTTTGGCTCAAGTAGCCAGCTGCTGCGAGTTTTTTTCTTAACCATCCTCACCCCGATGGGTGATCCTCTCCTCGCCGCCCTCCGTGTCGCGGGGCGCAAACATGGGCTCTCCGTGGGCAACTCCTCGATCTACGCCATGGCTGTCCATGCAGCTGTCGGTCTTCACGATGCGGTTCGTTTCGGCCTCTCCAAGGGACAAGACCACCCTGCCCTCGCACGCCGTGCGCAACATGCTGCTCGGGGGCTCCGCATACACCATGACTCGAAGTTCATCATCATCTCCCGCATCGGGACTCTCTCACAGACGTTGTCGCGGACGCCTCCGAGTCGGGCCGCTTCTCGGCGCAGGAGGGCCAGCTCATGCGCGACATTGCCAAGAACCGCAACGCTCGCACGCACGAGGCCTGGACATCCATCATGAATTACAAATTCAAAGGCGCCACGATTTTCGAGACCAGCATTCTGGGCCGAGGAAGCTCTCTACTGCCTGGCTTTTCGGAGCCACCGGCGCCTGCGCATTCAGGCAACTACGGCGGCCGTCCTTTGCCTGTAGATGACGCTCCCCGCGAATCCGCCCACATCGCCAAGCTGCGCTCAGAGCTCGAGAAGTTGGCGTCCAAGATCGCTGAAAACGTTCTGCGCCGACGGGAAGACCAACGCGCCCTCGAAGGGCTATTCCAGAAGGTCCAGGACCAGAATGACGCGTTCAAGCAGGGCATCGCCGAGGTCGTCGCCGCAGCCGAGCTCCAGTTCTCCCGCATGGCGGACCAGCTGGCGCTTGCTAGCGCCATTCCCGTGGACATGCTGGCTGGCGCTTTTGACGCCCAGCGCGTGGTCTCCATCAGCGACTACGTCGACCAGATGCCGGTCAACAGCCAGCACCACCACGACGACCTGCTGCACCTCGTGCCCGCCGTTTCCGTGGAGACCGATGCCGCGCAGCTCCGCGCGCCCACCTCCACCGACTCAGCGCTGAACATCATGCAGTGGCCGTGCGTCAACCAGAAGGTGCTCCACCCCGACCAGAAGATCCTGCACGCCATCATCACGGTGGCGCATTGCGCGGACTCCAAGTACGACGCCATGGCCGCCGTGCGCGTGAATTCCGCCAGCCTCAAGCCTGTGAAGGATCGTGTCGACCAGATGCCGACCAGCCTTCCGAACATCTACGACGACCTGCTGTTCGATGGCCTGTGCTTCTCCATGCTGGACGGCTCGCTTGACACGAACAGCGGTTTCATCATGAAGGACTCGTTCGATTGCGACTCGATGGAGGACCTCATCACCACTGCCATTTCCTTCGGCGGGTGCGATGGCGACTGCACCTTCGATGGCGTCGACGATGGCTCCACCTCCGACGACGACCTCGAGCTCTCTGCCTCCAGCGAGTCCCGCAACGGCGTCCTCTCCAACTCCTTCGGCCGCTTCTCCGACAAGTGCAACGTAGGCCTGCGCCTCCGCGCCCGCTTCGCGCGCGCGGCCGCGCTAGGCCTGACGGGCGTCTCCGCAATGGGACGTTCGCTCCTCCTCCTCCTCCTTCTGTTTTGTTTTCATCTTCCCCTCATCCTACCTCCTCCTCTTCGTCCCCTATCCCCCTCCTCCTGCTCCTCCTGCTGCTGCTCCCACCGCTCCTGCTCACTCCCTCTTCGTCCTTTCACCTCCTCCTACCTCCTCTTCCTCCTCATCCTCCTCCTTTTCATCCTCCTCCTCCTCCTACCT